CCAGGCTGATTGTTAGATGATGATTGTTGGATGATGGTTATAGATGTGTCGTGTATTGATCAGCATGAATTACTGTGAGTTTTGCAACTGTTAGCGTGTTTTTTGTGTACTGAACTGTTTATATGATTCTGGACTGTGTTTGTTGGATCACCCCTTAACTGCAGACATTGATGACTGCAGATGTCTTAACTGTGTATGAATTGGACTCTGCATACCTCTATTTCCACAGAATTACAACACTATCTGTTTTACAATTCAGTGTCTCCGTATGCTGGTTTATGTGTTCTTCTACACCACTCTCACTACGCTTCTCTGTACGCACTCGTTCTCCTAATAGAGAGCTTACCTAACACAAATGATATTGTATTAGCAATAAACCAATCTTCTACATTCTCCTTTCATTATATTTTTTCTAGCTTCATACACTAAGGAAGAGTGACACCAAGACATGATTCAGTACAGCTCCTAATATTAAAAAATACATTTTGCTGCTGTCTAGTGTTGTTACTTTCTGAATATATATGCATAGGATGATGCATATATTTAATTCTTAAAAGGTTATTGCCTCTTATTCACAACATTCACAATCCTTGAAGTTTCAGAAAGTTCAGATATAGAAACTAAAATACAGAATGTAAGCAGCAAATATTTCTAAATTTGTCTGTGATCTTTTCAAGAAGCAGATACATACCTCCTCAGCCTCACTAGTATTTCCAGTAGCAGCTTTGGCTTGTGCATAGTTAAAGTTAAAAGTATCATCATTATAGAAATAACTCTGAAAAATAAAGTATGATTAATAAAGAAACAAGTTAATGGTTTATGACATTTAACAGCTAGTATCAATTTTCAATTATTGTTTGTAATTGACAATACAATTGTCAATACAACTGAACTACGATGGATATGTTAATAAATTAGAAATTAAACTTCTTTTGCCTTTCTCCCAAGCATATAAAATCTTGCTATGATGTAATTTCCCTTTGCTCATCTCCTCAAAACATTATTGCTCAATTCTATATTTTTAATTCAACAAATATCAGGGGGCTCCATTTTTATCTAGTTATAACATCTTGAAAATACAGTACACTGACTGTTCATAAAAATAGTTTAAGCCTTAGACAATCCCTAAAATATAGTCCTGATGAATGTGAAATCATTCTTTCATTTAATTCTAAACAGTATAAAAGCAATGAATCCACAATTCATAATTAATGTCTTATACAGAGAGGGTGGAACATTTACTTATTTATATACCATCACACTCCCCAAGAACTACTAGCATACCAGTATATTGAATTACTCATAATGATACTAATATAAATGTTTCCTAATAATTACATATAATCAATAAAAGGTCTTCTAAACAGCTCAGTTTTCATCCTTCCTATATGCTGGGAGGCATAGTACAATACAGATTTTTACATGGAGCCTACTCCAGAAGGAAGGCTGTGCTGCAGAAAAGGAATAACCTAAAGCAGGGTTGTCAAACTTGCAGCCCGTGGGCTGGATGTGTCATGTGCTGGCCCCGCCCCCACTTGATTTAGCAAAGAGGGGGAGGAAGTTCCGATATGATATATGACGACATGAGTTTGACAACCCTGACCTAGAGAGTGAGTTCTGTTTGAAGCAATTTGTCCATCAGGCCAACTCAGGAAGGATTTTATACCTCTTTTTGCATACTTAAATAACACTTCCTCATTTTGTTATATCAAATTTCTAAATTAGAAGCCACAGCAAACCAGTTCAATAAAACACTTCAAGCTGATAATACTATAACGTATTACATTTCTTTAGATTTTCCATGGATGAATTGATTATACTTCTCATATATTAAATAGCGTAAATGCTAATTAAGAATTTCAGAAAGTTTATGTATCATTTTCTCCAACCACATGTGGATTTTAGTCCAGTATCTTTTAGCTT